GCAAGGCGGCCAGGCCGTTGGGGGCGTGAGCTGGTGGCAGCCTCCTCCACGGCGGAGCCCGAGCGTGCTGGAGGAGGAGGGGGGCGCGCCCCAGACTCACAGAGCACTGGCGTGTAGTACTTGGAGAAGACCTCGTCCTTGGGCCGGTCAGGGAAGACGTAGATGAGGTAATTGAGGTCGCCCAGGCGGTCGGCCAGCGAGCGGATGGAGAAGTCTCGGGTCGTGAAAGGCATGAGGTTCCAAAACATCCGCTCAGCTAGAAGCGTGCTGGAGGAGGAGGGGGGCGCGCCCCAGACTCACAGAGCACTGGCGTGTAGTACTTGGAGAAGACCTCGTCCTTGGGCCGGTCAGGGAAGACGTAGATGAGGTAATTGAGGTCGCCCAGGCGGTCGGCCAGCGAGCGGATGGAGAAGTCTCGGGTCGTGAAAGGCATGAGGTTCCAAAACATCCGCTCAGCTAGAAACACAACAGCAGAGAGGCGCCTGTGAAACGTGGCATCCGGGGCCACGGGGTGCCATGGAGGGGCCTCAGAGGCACGCTGCGCCCGTCAGGCCCTTGTGTGGCACAGCCGGCCCCAGGAGTTCACTCAGACCTCAAGGAATCCAGCTTCAAAAATCATGAAAACTCTAAGAATCGACGCCGAGTTTGTCGGCGCTTCCTTAGAATCATAGAACCATAGAGCTGGAAGAGACCTCAGGAGTCATCAAGTCCAGCCCCCTGCCCTAGGCAGGACCAATCCCAACTAAATCAACCCAGCCAGGGCTTTGTCAAGCCGGGACTTAAACACCTCTAGGGATGGAGACTCCACTACTTCCCTAGGGAACCCATCCCAGTGCTTCACCACCCTCCTCGGGAAATAGTTTTTCCTAATATCCAACCTGGACCTCTCCCACCACAACCTGAGCCCATTGCTCCTTGTTCTGCCATCTGTCACTACTGAGAACAGCCTCTCTCCAGCCTCTCTGGAACCCCCTTCAGGAAGTTGAAGGCTGCTCTCAAATCCCCCCTCACTCTTCTCTTCTGCAGACTAAACAGACCCAAATCCCTCAGCCTCTCCTCGTAAGTCATATGCTCCAGCCCCCTCATCATTTTGGTCGCCCTCCATTGGATCCTCTCCAACGTGTCCACACCCTTTCTGTAGCGGGGGGCCCAGAACTGGACACCATACTCCAGCTGTGGCCTCCTTCTGGCTGTGCACCTTTAGGGGTTCCCTCCCTGCACCCTCGGGGCTGGAAACGTCCTGTCCGCACACCGGCACGGTGAGAGTATCATGCAATCGCCTGATTCTGGGAGCTGGGGGCTTCGAAACCCCCCTCCCCGTATCATCAGCTTTGCAATTCAAGTCCCTGGGCTTCCCCAGGCGCCAGGGCTGCTGCTGCATTCAGGGCATAGGGACCCTCCCCCCCCTCCCGTTTGACCCAGGGCATCTGCAACAGACTGGGGAGAGCCCGAAAGTGAACCTAAGGAGAAACAAAAGCAGAGGAAGGAGGAAGGCTGCTGGGCCATGGGCGTCGCTGGGCTGAGAGCCGGGGCAGAGCCGAGCCGGCACGTTCTTGCAGGTCTCACAAGGGAGGCTCTGCCCTGGCTGCATTTGCACGCGAGTCTCTCTCAACACAGGGCTCTGGACCACACCCGCTGGCGTGGACTGGGCAGCCCAGCCCGGCCGCACAGGGATGGCCCTGGCTTTCCCCAGTGGGAGGAGGATCCTCGCGGCAGCCGGCAGCCCAGTGGGACACATGTTCTGGGCGAAAAGGAGAAAAGCCAAAGCTCTCCAGAG